TGCCCCAGGTGCCTCAGCAGCCTGCCCAGCCACCCAAACAACTGCCCCAGGTGCCTCAGCAGCCTGCCCAGCCACCCAAACAACTGCCCCAGGGGCCTCAGCAGCCTGCCCAGCCACCAAAGCAACTGCCCCAGGTGCCTGCTACCAAACCACAGATGCTGCCACTAAAGCCCCAGTTTTTCGGCCTCCATAAGCAGGAGCCACTAACTCCACCAAAGTGGCCTAAACTGCCCCCCATGCTCCCCAGACTCCAGCTCAAGATGCCCCCCAGACTCCAGAGGTCCAGCCCACTGTTACCCCCCCAGCTGCTGAAGAAACCTGTCCATTCATTTTATTGGCTGCAGCTTCCAGGGCAGATGCAGGAGTTCTTCCAGAACCTTCCAGAACCTCCTGTGACGTACAGTGACAGGCGTCAGGTGACTGGTCCCTCAGCAGCCCAGGAACAGGTGCAGTCACTGCCCTCCAGTGGCCAGTTGTAGTAATGGTAAGATCGGCACATCAGCAGCATGACAGTGAAGTTGGTCTGTGCCTTGAACGGATGTCTGTTTCAGGTTTGAGGCCGAGGTGGACCGGACCGGACTGGACCTGGTACGTATATGTTGGTCAGATTAGTTTTAGTTAGTAGTTTGAGTTGGTTAGTTTATTTCCCCTCGTGTTAATCCTGTGTTTGTGTTCCAGGTGATCTCCGCTGATTCCACGTGAAACAGAGGTTAATAAAATACATTTGAACTTCTCTCTGGCTTCACTTGAGCTCTGTTCTAGAATGTTGGTTTGGTTCTAACGCGACAACTTCATCTCACACACGTGTCGGTTCGCTGTGGTTCAGATCACAAGAGCAGAGAGCTGACTGTGTCGGTCTCGTCGGTGTTTCTGGAACATCTGTTTTGGTCGTGATGAACACCAACAGTCGGTAGTTTGACCTCATCCTGACCTGAGTGGAGGGATGGGGCCAATCCTGGGAAGACAACTCCAAGTCATTACATGTATGTCCTTCCGCAGTCACCGTGATGACGTAACTTTTCGTTTGTTGTGAGTAAACTGGAGTTGACCACCAGTTTTAGTCTTTGTCCCGTGGTTTCTCACACTTTTTTTTTCTTTTTTTTTTTTTTTTCATTCGACAAACTTTTTTTTTTCTGTGACCGTCTGTCTGTGAGCAGCCTATCTGTGCAGCCCATAGCAGTGATAGGTCACTTCGTGGACAAGGCGGCAGCTGACTGGCTGAGCGGTGTGTCAATCAAACAGCAGCCATCACACAGACTTCAGCGTCTGAAGTCGTAGAGCGTGTTGATTGTGTGAAGGCGCCCATGTGTAGTGTGTCGACACAAAGAGGACGCCACCTTTGGCTGAGAGTGGGTGAAGATTCTGAGCCAGCGTTCTGTTTTTGTTTTGTCTTTAGAGTCGGACGTGGCGGTGGATCTGCTGAGAAACGACACGGTGCACGGTGAGTCTCACACAAGGACACAACGGAAGTTAAGCCCAACCTGTTTCATGCCCTGGCGGTATTCAGTTGCATGTACTTAAATATTGTGGTTAAGTTTATATTTACAAACCAAATTGAACCCAACTGGTTTTACTTTTAAAGTAAAACGTGTATACTTGATCCCAAAACCTTGGTTAAAAAAGGTAAAATCTCTCTATTCATAAAAGCTCACACACAACTCGTATGCCCTTTTTTCCTTTCGGCTTTGTCCCTTTTTTCAGTAGTTGCTACAGCAAATCATTGATTTCCATCTGTCCCTGTTCTCTGCATCTCCTCCTCTGACTCCAACTATCTGCATGTCCTCCCTCACTGCATCCATATATCTCCTCTTTGACCTTCCTCTCTTTCTCCTACCTGGTAGCTCCATCTCTAACATTCTTCTACCAATGGATCCACTGTCCCTACTCTGCACATGTCCAAACCATCTCAATCTGGCTTCTGTCTTTTTCTCATCTTTAACTCTGCCACCTCCAGCTCCGCCTCCTGTCTTCTGCCTATTGCTAGTGTCTTTAAGGCATACAATTGGGATGATCTTTTGGTAAGTTTGAAAAACAAAAATTTAGAAAAATTTTAGAAAAAATTATTTTATGAATAGTTTCTTGTATATTATTTTTTTGAAAATTTTTTTCCAAAAAAAAGTTTTTGACGGATTCTGACGGATTATCTCTCTCTCCTCAGGTGATCACGTGGCCTCACCTCCACCATGGCTGACGTGGAACTGTCGTGTCGAGTGTACGTCAAGATGTACCTGCACGCCTGTCTCTTCCCCCATTGTCCTGTCGTTGTCTCCAGTGACCCAGCTGGCCCTCACACAGGTAGAACATGAAGAGAAGACTAATATCAACCGGTGTAGCCGTGGGTCACCGTCTGGACTTTGTTTCAGGTGGACGTGTGGTGTTCACAGACTCAGCAGAGGATTGTGGGTTACTATCAAGCTAACGCCTGTGTGTCCGACAGTAGGTGAGTGTTTTATTTTTTATTTTCATGTTTATCTCCTCTGATGCTTAAGTTGGTGTCCTGTTGTTAAATTATATTTTAAAATGGCGTCTTTTCCTGCATGTTTCTCATACAATTAGGGCATTTAGCGAACATTTTTAGAATTTTTTTTCTATAAAATGTTCTGTCATAATGTGAACTTTGTCATTTTTGGTCAAAAATTTAAAAAAACAAATGAAGATCTTTGTTAAATTATTTTTAAAAACTTCATCTTTTCCTGTATGTTTCTAATAAAATTAGGGCTTTTAGAGGATACTTTTACAAATTTCTTCCTATAAAATTTTCTGTCAAAATGTGAACTTTTTGTGTCACTTTTGGTCAAAAACTAAAAACCTTTCATGACATTTTTTGTAATTTTGTGAAATTATATTGGATTTTTCCACAGTGGAAAATTTTTAGAAAAAAAAAATTTATGAAAAGTTTCTCGTGTATTTTTTTAAAAATTGTTTTAATATTTTGTACAATTTTCTTAAAAAAAATGTAGAAAGAAAAATTTGGTCAGATTTTGAAAAATGTTCTACCAATGTATCCACTGTCCCTCCTCTGCACATGTCCAAACCATCTCAATCTGGCTTCTCTGTCTTTAGATTTTTAGAATTTAGATTCATATACATTATTTACTCTGTTTAAAATAAACGTTTTTTTAATTCGAAAAGAAATGTATTTTCAAATATAGACACTAGAGAGCGCTAATAGGTTAGATACTGAAGCCTAACAAAATGATTGACGTCTCATTCTGACCAATCACTAAATACCTTTACATATCAGTGGGCGTTGGCGGAAGCGGAAGCAGTTCTTTTTCTTCTCAGTAGCTAAGGTGAACGTTCTGACTACGTACTCACGCCGCTGTTCGGATTATTGTTGTTTTTAGTGAAAACCACAGAATCAGGATTTGTTCCAAAAGCTCCACTTTCTACTACGTCTTCCGTGGGCGACTTCATTTGTGTTCAGGTGAGATTTAAAGGTTTCTCTCTTGCTCCGTTCGCTCATATGCTAATGCTAAGCCTGCTAGCGGTAGCCTGTTAGCATTCGACTACAACCGCTGCTGTTTGTTGTATTGTGATTCATGACCTATCGAGTTGTAGCTCCGATCCGTTTGAACCATTTTTTCTATTTATAATTGAATGATACGATATAAGAGATTAGGTGAATGGGTAGAAACCACGGCAGCCTTGTTCAGGTCGAAGTTAAGTCTCAAAAGTAGGAGAGATTCAATTCGATAGATATATAGACAGAAAAAACCTCAGGGACACCATCAAACAGAAATCTGACAAAAAGTAAATGTAGTGAAATATAATAACCTTCTAGTTTAAATCGACTAAAAATGTATTCTTCTTTAGTTGAAGACAATGCTGATATACTGGCAGGAATTAAATAAAGACACTCACAAACATGTTCTTTAAAAGCTCTGATTAATTTTTATTTTTTAGTTTATATAACCATCCTCTTCCACCTAGCGGAAGAGGATTTAATCGCTCTGCCTGTCACGCGTTGAAAGAAAAATTGTTTGCAATAAAAAACAGTTTTGGGACCAAATATGACATTGGATGATTTTCCTATTCTAGAGATGTATATGTTTATATAAGGAGGATGTGAGAAACCCACCGGAAATGACTGTATTTCTATTTCAACTAGAACCAATAATACTCATATTAGTATTAATTTATGGTGATATGACAATTGTTTGTGTTTTTTTGATAATTTGTTTTATTGACTCCTTATTCATTAAGAGTTGAAGGATATTTGAGGTATTAAAGTCTCCAATATGTCATTTATAAAATTATACTAAAATTAAGTCCTGAAGTTATTTTCTGTGATTTATTATCAACGCCTGAACAAACTAACAATGTTCTTTTTATGTAGACAATAACAATAGTGATTATAGTGTTTCTGTGCTTACATTTGTTCTAAACTGCGGTCGTTACTGACGGATTATCTCTCTCTCCTCAGGTGATCACGTGGCCTCACCTCCGTGGTCATGGCTGACGTGGAACTGTCGTGTCGAGTGTACGTCAAGATGTACCTGCACGCCTGTCTCTTCCCCCATTGTCCTGTCGTTGTCTCCAGTGACCCAGCTGGCCCTCACACAGGTAGAACATGAAGAGAAGACTAATATCAACCGGTGTAGCCGTGGGTCACCGTCTGGACTTTGTTTCAGGTGGACGTGTGGTGTTCACAGACTCAGCAGAGGATTGTGGGTTACTATCAAGCTAACGCCTGTGTGTCCGACAGTAGGTGAGTGTTTTATTTTTTATTTTCATGTTTATCTCCTCTGATGCTTAAGTTGGTGTCCTGTTGTTAAATTATATTTTAAAATGGCGTCTTTTCCTGCATGTTTCTCATACAATTAGGGCATTTAGCGAACATTTTTAGAATTTTTTTTCTATAAAATGTTCTGTCATAATGTGAACTTTGTCATTTTTGGTCAAAAATTTAAAAAAACAAATGAAGATCTTTGTTAAATTATTTTTAAAAACTTCATCTTTTCCTGTATGTTTCTAATAAAATTAGGGCTTTTAGAGGATACTTTTACAAATTTCTTCCTATAAAATTTTCTGTCATGAGAGTGCAAACGTGGTCTTAGAACAGGGTTCCCTAAATTAATTGACTAAGTTTTGGAATGACACCCGAGGTTCCACTGTGTTTATTCATGAACAGTTGTCCCTTTATGGAAATGTAAGAAAAGTGCAACGTTTAAGGCAACATTTAAGCAACTGAATTGGTCTTAAATAAAACAAATATACACCAAATTACATACAAGTAACAAATGATTTTTTTGAAGTATGTGTCTGATGATCTTCCTGTTGTGTTTCTTTCAGCCCGACCCCGTGTGCAGTGAAGGTGGCTGATAAAATCGCTGAGCAGTTTGACAACGCAGTGTTGTTAATGGTAAGTTGATGAAGTGGATGTTTCTCTGGAGAATGCAGCTGTTTGATGGACACTCTGGTCACGGTTGGTGTCTGTGTGTCTGTGTCACAGCTCGACGGCAGTAAGATGTCGTCGGACTATCGGGTTCCTCCCATCGTAATGTACGATCGCAAAGACGCCAGATGGACGCTCAAAGACAAACACACGTAAGACATTGTCTTATTTTTTATTTTATTAAATGTCTCAACATTAGAAATACAGTTTACTGTAAACCATGTCTTGATTTGGCCAAACATATAAACGATCTGTGTTTAAAGGACTAATCATGTTATTTTAAATACATAAACCAAGATGACAAGAAGGTTTTAAAGTTAATGTTACAAATGTTTTCCAAAAGTTGTAAATCATAAACAATGAAGATGAAGAAATGTACAAATTTATAAGAAGTAAAAAAAAAAAAAATAGCAACGACACTTAGGCTGTAAGAAAATCTCCATATCCTGATCTGTCCTCTCCTGATCCCGCATCAATCTCTTCAGTAAAAGATCAGTTATTGATCTTTTCTCACCAATTCCCAGTCCAATATTCCTGGTGTTGGTTGATGTTCTTGTTCTTTCTTCTCTAGTGATTCCAAATGTAGATCCCTCTGTTCCTGGTGTTCAGATGGAATACAATACATTACAATTACAATATGTAATACAGTTTTGTGTAGAAAACCATGCTTGCTTTGAGCTTGTCCCTCCACCAGGGGTCGCTACAGCTGTCTTTTTGTTTTACTCCAACCTGGTTTGGGAAAATAAGTCTTACCGATGTCTTTGTCTTCTGCAGAATCATGCTGAGACAGTGGGAGGAAACACGGGCCATCGCCGCTCAGATGCTCGAGTCCGGTGATCACTCACTATTAGTGGACTTCGACAGCCACCTGGATGACATCACAAAGGACTGGACTAATCAGACACTAAACACCAAAATAGCAGAGCTAGCATGTCCGGCTAATGGCAGCCTCTAAACAGTAGCTACTGTTAGGATGTAGCTTACACTAACAGTGGTCGTCGTCTTCCTGCCTGGACTAGTGGTGGTTTCATGGTGGAAGACGACCATCACCTTATCTACAATGTCTGTGATCACCAGATACGTATGTTGTCAATAAACTGTGACTTGTTTCCATCTGTATTTATATTTATGACTTATGTAAAACATTACAATAATACAATATTTACATTTGACAAAAATGTGTGGAGTGATTTATTTTTCTCAAAATGCTCTAATTTGACGAGAAACATGTAGAAAAGATAACCTGATAACATGTGTTCTTTGAAAACCACGTATTGTACTTAGTGTCTTTAGCTAACAACGTGTGACGGCCCATGACCTGGTGGTTGTTTACTTTCTCTTCTAGAAGAAGTAAATTGTTACTGTTATTAGAAACATAATGACATTCCTGTCACAAAATCGGTTTATACAATGTTATGTTATTCAACGTTTCATAATAAATGTCCCATATTCAATGTCAATACAGAGGTGCACGGACGTTTGAAATAACTACCAGGTTATGGGCCGTCACACGTTGTTAGGAGGTGTGAAGATCTGTTAACTAAAGACTCCGCCACCAGGTTTGGAGTACAATACAAGTGTGTAGGTTCTCAGTCATTCAAAAATAGTTACATTGAGGGCAACTGGACGGAGTAGGTTTTCTTCAGATCTTACTGACTACTGCGAAATTCTGGTATTTAGCCTCAAAGCGGCTGCGTACCCATTACGAGGGTGAATACCAGAATTTCCCAGTTGTAAGTCAGAACTGAAGAAGCCTCTCGGATGAGAGGTGAAACGTCTTCCAAAAAACCTCCAGTTGCCCTCGATGTAACTGTTTTTGGAGTGCCACACATGATTTTAGAGGAACACTCACCTTTTTAGACGTTTTTAGAAGTCTTTCTAAAATGCGGGACTGGCTAGTCCGGAGATGGTCCGATGATGTACCGGCCAGGTCACAAGTGGTCCAGCTTGGCCGGAGATGCACTTTAACAGGGGAAGACACGCGAAATTAGGATTTTGCCGAAAAACGTCAGAAACATTATTTTTTACAAAAAATCTCAAAATGCTCTAATTTGATAATAAACATGCAGAAAAATTTAAGATTCCCCCTCCCCCAAGATTTTCGATGGTAAGGCGTGTTTTGGGTGATTTTTGAAATATTCATATAAAATATTTTTTGGACTTTTAAACACAAAATATTCACTTGGCAGCAATGTTCCCTCTAAGCTGCGCGCGTGCGCAATCGCGCACTGCCCGCACATGCTCAGCGCACAAGAAAATCTATTTAGCGCATAAATAACATCAAGCATAAACGCATTAATTAAAATCCAATATTAGACTTAATCTAATCTAATTAATTCGCCCAATAATATTGTTTTTTTGTTTCTCACGCAGGGGGTGACAGGTGTCCAGCCAATGATACAATACGGTTCATTTACGGTACGAAGCCAATCATGGCATTGACGGTGCTTGCGTCTGGGTTCTACCTATATGAGCCGTGCAGGTTAGCTAGCAGGTTAATAGATACTAATACAAACCCTGCATCATGGCGAAACGAACAGGCAGCGACACAACCACTCACCAAGCCACAGTGAAAAAGAAATGCAGTTCTTTTAAGATGGAATGGTTGTCGGAGTATGTGCAAATTGAAGAAAAAGCGGTGAAATTGAGTGAGATTTTTTCTTTTTCAAGTGAGAAAGGTCTACTCTGCAAAACATGCAGCGATGCCAAAGTAGCAAGTGAGTTTTCAGAGGGAAAAATGTGGATTGAATGGAAGCTGGATTATCTCAAGCGTCACGTTCAGCATAAAAGTCATTTAAAGGCTGTCGAAACTACACGAAGACTCAAGATGGGGCAGGGGATTGGTACGTTATTGCGGGAGAGCGCAAAAGACCGAGAGAAAAGGAACGAGTTGTCACACAAAACAAAATCGGACCCTGAACAAGTTAAAGTTCTCATTGACAATATTTTACTTGCCATCAAAATGAATGCATCAATGCTGTCAGTTCAACAAATCCACGATCACATGGCAAAGTACGTGAGTATACCAGAAAGCTGGCGAAGCAAAAACTATGCCTTTGAATTTGTGAACTCAATCAATGATATAGTGCAGAATGAGACTATGTGCAGTATTAAAAATGCACCCTGGCAATTTAAGTCAGATTTGTGCATATTCTAGTGACGGTTATTAAGATTTTGTCTTTATGGATATTAATTATTAAATGTTATTACTATTAGATCATTTATGGGTAGTAGAAATGCCAAGAAAAACTGTGTAATTAGATATTTTACAGACAAAGTGTTACAGGAATTTGCACTGCATCACAAGCTACAGCACAAGTCATTGTGCAAAATGTGAATGTTTTAATGTGAGCAAAATGCTATGTCTGAAAGGTGTATATGTCTCATATCTTCCAGAACAGGACCCTCAGCCAGGCCAAAGCAGGACTATCACATACTATATAACATTTACGCATCCCATTTTTCAGATTTTTGTCTTTTTTTTGAGTGGACCAAATTACTTATTTAAAAATAAAGCGCGCATATCTGATGTTGCTCACAGTAGTCCTCAGTTTGCTCAGGGAGCTTGTGTGTATGCCCAGATACATGAAAAATTAGAGGGAACATTGAATTAGACTGACTTTTTTTTTGCCTAAGTACTGGTTTCATCTTCAACATGATTAATAAACAGTGTTTACTTCTCCTCTAGCATCACTGTAATAAAGGCACAGAACCGACAAATGTTTCTGGTCATATGAAGTGTTGCAGTCAGTGACAACAGTTGGTGCTTTTCGGAACTTCCTGGTTATCAAGTCTCAGTCTTTTGGCAAGCTTTTGTGAATGCATCAGCAAACTTCAGCTTAGTAAGCATCTTCTCAGACAAGCAAACCACAGGAAAAGCCTCAGTACCAAGTCGGTTGAAACGTGTATAAATAATCATGCAGCTATTTTAAATATTCTGCTGCTGCAGCTGCTCTCACCTTGTAGAACTTCCTCAGATTCTCCTTCTGCGTCTGGTTGATGACAGTCAGGACTCTAGCGATGGACTTGCGGACAACGCGGCTGTAAAGAGAGATTAGTTGAGTTAGCAAGACCTAGATAAAAAAAAAAATAATTGTGAGAATGACAGCAGATAAGATGCATCATAATTCCACATCAGTATGTAACAAGACATCAGGCCACATTGAAATTTTTGAAGTTGCAAAAAAACAAAAACACTTGAGCAAGCTTTTCTTGTGAGGTACTTTTCAAACAACTTGAGGAAAACATCAATTAAGATTTTTTTTTTTTTTAAATCAATTTTAAAATGTGGCAATTTATACTAAATTGAACATAATATATTTTGGGATTACAAAACCACAGAAACCTTTATGACTTTATACAATTTAACACATTCACTTCTTTACTATTTAAAACTGTAGACAAGTGGAGAATGCGATTTTGACACAACCACCCCTACGTGGTTGGCACATCCCTTCAAACTGTGTGTCAAAGTTGGACAGAATTTCTATCTGCTCTGTGTACCACACACTGTCAGGTTGTGTACACTGCCATGCCCTACTCTGACATGAGGTTTGAAGGTTCCAAAGTAACAAGTTCCAAATGTAACTGCAGTGTTGAGGATATATGTCAATGGCCTGTATTTAATGCAAATGGATCTCAATTCCTTGAATGCTTCCCATCATCTCTAATCTAGTGGATGATCTTCATAGACACAGTTGCACCCCCACAACTGGTGTAATTAGTTTCAATTATCTTCACAACTGATTGTGTTTTGGGAGACAAACAAATGCACAGCAACTTAAAGAAACAGATTAATAAAAAAAATGATTCTCTTTCAATTGGACTCAAACTAAACACAAAAGTGTACAATGTATTGATTTCTAAAGATAACCATGATGGCATGGTGCCAAATTATTACTTTGTTGTAACCCACTGTGTTAGTGTCACTATCGCTAGGGTTTTTCTAGCTGAACTTACATCTTTGAGAGCTTGGAAGCAGCTCCTCCAGTGACCTTGGCCACACGTAGCTGAGATAGTTCATTCTTGAGGTCATCCAGCTGCTTCAGCAGCTCTTCCTTCTTCTTACCCCTCAGATCTCGTGCCTTGATCTTGGCCTGAACCAGATACGGTGACATTCAGTGATGAAAACTGATTTAGTATTCATGTTGTTGTTGTCGTTTTCAATTTTAAAAATCACGTTTTATTAAGTATTTCCCAGACACAGAACATTTTCTAACACTTTAAACGTCCAAAGTGAGAGACAGATTTTACCCAGGCATACATTTAATTTCCTTTTACTTAAATTACTTAAATTAGCAGAGAATCGCTACGTTCATACACCGGAGATATACTATCAGTTTACATTTAAGTGGGCTAAAAGCACTATCACAGTTGTAACGTTAATTTATTTATAAACCGTTTATGTATATTACTCGTATCAAAACCCATGTTAATCACACAAGCCCAACACTGTTAGCCATCGTAGCACAGCATACATACGGCTGGAGCATTAATCAGGAACTCTCCTAAACTTAACCGCTTCGCTTTGATATTCAAAGACTTCATACAATGAAATTAAGAAACGTTTGACAGATCTGTAAGATTAAGAGTGATAGGTAGCTCAGTCTGTCTGCTTTAGCTTACTGTTAGCATACGTAGCCGAACGACGTCTGTCGCCACCACGGTTCTACAAACTCAAGTTTATTCTATTACTGAAGCAGTTTACTTGTCGATATACGGGTGAGCAACGTCTCGGAAAGTATACGAGTACACAGAACAAACAAAAAAAGGAAATCAGACAAAAGAAAGATGGAAATAATTCAATTTCGTTTGCAGAGCGTTTGATCCTCACCATGTTCCTGTTCGACGCCTCGTTGGAAAGGCCGGACACACCGCGTGCTCACATAAAAGTTTCCGGTGATTTTCTTCTTCGTCGGTCTAAGTTTCAGAATAGGAACGAGCGCCCCCATCAACTGGAACAGGAGTAACTGTTGTTTAGTGAATTTCAATATCATGATAGCATTCTAATTAAGATATATTAGTGAAGGGGGGATTTTTATATAAGTAAAATGAAACGAAACTTTTCTTTCCTATATTGTATTTAATATTAAAAAAACAGAAGGAAGAAAAACAGCAGCACTTGTTAAATCATCCATTTTTATCCACTTATCCGTTACTGGGTCGCGGGGGCAGCAGTCACCACCCAAATCACACTGCACCGTACCAACCCCCCTGAACCTTCCTGCAGGTGGTGAGTCCACTGGAAGACGTGTTAAATCATATCAAGAAAAAGACAAATATTGATTGTTGATTGATGAATGTTTTGGGGATTTCACAGTAGAGTAGAATCAGTGGCAGTAAAAAGTACATTTGCATTATTTTAATTATCCTCATGAATGTATGTATGTATGTAAACAGGAGTCTGCTACACCACACTGAACTGTTCAGTGGTTACATGTTTTTCTGCAGGCAAACCCGTATCCCATGTTAGTAGATAATACATGGACCTTTGTGAGCCAGAGTTAAAGGTATAGTTCCAATTTTATGGGATTAAAGAAAACCCTGACCGCACTGTGTATGCATGCTGCTCTGAGAAACGGTGCAAAATTTAATAAAAACCGGTTTTAGAAATTACGTTCACAGAATTGTGAAATTTTACATGTGGAATGTACTTTTATTTACAGCAGAATATGCAGGTTAAAGGTAGTCCTTCTGGCATTAACATAATACACCTTACCATTATAACCCAAACAGTCAATTAAGAATCAACAGTATTCACTTTGATTGAGTTGTTTTTCTCTTCTTTCAGCACCTGTGCAGAGTTCTTTTTATTTTCAACACTGAAGTAGGCATCAACAGCCCGTTGTCACTAGGGGTCACTGGTTGTTTACAATTTAAAGCAGTCCTCAGTATGGAGGAACAGAGTCATTTCTCTTTCTGCTGCTTATCATCTCCAATAAGTTTAAGAGCCTGAGGTGGAAGGCCTGATGATCCCTTTAGGAGAAGGCTTAGACCCAAACCAGGCCATCTGGAGAAAAGAAGTAAAGAAGAAGATAAAAAGAAATGTTATAATTTAATTATTATTCTTTTTAAAATCATGACTAAAATCAAAACACATTTCTTCAACAACTGTATTCTCTCATTACATTTAGTTCAAATAAAATGCAGCATATAAAAATATCTGAGCTGGTGCTAGAATGTAAATGTCAACTGGCAACTCAGAAATTACTCAAAAGTTTGTGATGTAAAAATGGGATCGCTAGCTAAAAAAGGTTGGGTACCAATGTATTAATGCATTTATGGTGCTGTTCCAGGCATACAAGGTTGCTCAATTGGAGTTTGTTAAATCTTAAGTTGTTGGTGATAGTAACCTTGTACTCTAGCGTTTGCTTCAGCATGTCTTCTTCTCAGGTGAAGTGCAGCAGTATGGAGACAGCTCGTATCAGATGAAACGCCTGACAGAGACAGAAACACAAACAACACACATTCACACTTGTTTTTTTTTTTTGTTTTTTAGAAGGATCTGGTTGCTGCTATGTGATGCTGTAGATGTAGATCACATGTACCGTACCTCTGCCTCTCTACACGACATGAACTTGAGAACTACGTGTTTGAGATTTTCAAAGTTGGTCTCCCTTGAGATGCTGAGGTCCGAGTTGTTGGTCACAGTGGTGTTTGAGGTCGGGGGGCTTCGGGTGGACACGAGTGAGGGATCTGGAGAAACCCTCTCTTGTTTTTCTGCCCGGCTCTCTGTCGACTTCTCCTTCGCTTCAGCCTCTAGTTCGGGCTTTAGCTTCTGTGGTACACAGAGAAAGAGAAGGTGTTATACGTATATGTGTTTTAAAGTATTCATCTGGTGTGAAACAACAGATTTTGGTATTAGGGTTTTATAACATGTTCATACATTGTGCTGTTTAACAGGTGTTAGTGAAGGACAAATAAAAAAATTCAAGACAATCTCTGCATTCAGTTATCTCCTAAAATCATCACTTTACTCTAATAAAGTTTTCCGTCATCTCACCAGTTCTTTCTGCAGCATCCTCTTTAGTTCAGCCAGTCTTTGTTGCAG